TTTCCAATAATCTAAACAAGAAACCTTTCGCGAAGGGTTCGTAAGGCGTAACTAACGACGGAAAAAATCCGCGGTGCTCTTCCATCGCTGTTGGGGTCTGTTGCTGAGATAATCTTAGGCCCCTACACCCTAAACATTAAACCCTAAATCCTGGGCCAGGCCCTACCCTGAACCTTACACGTTTAACCTTAGACTGGAATCCTAGACCCTAAGCCCTAATTCCCAAACCTTAACCACGAAAACCCCAAACTTTAAAACCGAAACCTAAACCCTAGGCCCCCAAGCCTCCAACCCTAAACCCTAAACACTGAACCTTACTCCATTGATTTAGGCCCCAACGTTCACTCGCAGGCCCGGAGGCGACGCATCGCCTCAGGGCGCCGCCTGCGAAGAGCTGTGCGCCAGGCTGATGCTTCAGGGCTTAGTTTGGGTTTGGGGTTCATGGCCTAGGGGTTTAGGCATCAGGGGCCAGGACTTGGGGATCAGGGTTTAGGGTTTAGAGTTTACGCACTGGCGGATCAGGTTAGGGATTAGGGTTAAGAGTTTGGTTTAGGTTTAGGGTTTGGTTCAGGGATTAGGGTTCAGGGTTTAGGGATTAGGGTTCAGGGTTTAGGGATTACGGTTTAGGGAGTAGAGTTGAAGTCCTGAGGTTTGGGGATTAGGGTGTCTTGCTGCGCGGCGGCTGGAGGTAGCATGTAGAAATGGCACCCCGGCACACCCAGGCGCGGGGGGGCGGCATTTCTTGCGACGGCACAAATCTCGTGCCCAACAAACCAAGAATTGATGTGTTACTTTATTCTTTCCACCCCCTGCCTGCGCAGGCATCCACCTAACTCTATTCGTTTTCGGGTTTTGGGCTGAATTCTCACTTGTCTTGTTCTTGTTTAATGAAACAACGGGCCCGCCGCAGGCGGGGCCTCTGGAGCATTTTGCGGGCAACCAAAGAAAGCCTGGCAGGAGGCCTTCAGGGCGCCCAGCCCGCCCCGCAGCACACAGATCGCTAGGTTTAGGGTAATCTAGTGGATCAGACAAAGATGCAGCTTACGCTCTATAAGTCATTGACCTGCATTGAGTGTCATTCCAAGCAATGTTGTGAATAGCTGATGGATATAGTTCCGGGTCCAGGCACCCTGGAAAACCGTGGGTACGGCCTGAGCAGGCCTGGGTGGGAATTTAGGGTTTAAGGTTTAGGGCTTAGTGTGATACTTAGGGTTTACGAATTAAGTTTAGGGTTTAGGGTTAACGGTCTGGGGCTCAGGGTTCAGGGTTTAAGGTTTAGGGTTCAGGGTTCAAGGTTTGGGATTTAAGGTTTAGGGCCTAGGGTTTAAGGTTTGCAGTACCGCCATGTAAGCTTCATACCGGGCTCGTAAAAGGGGAAAGGGTGATGTAAGGTCTGTATATACCTCTTCCTTCAGAAGGTCTTCAAGATTTCAACAATGTGCTCTAGCTTAATCTTAAATTATGGCTTTCCGTTTTAAACTAGAAATTAACATGCAAGTGAGGGGGTGGTTTTGGGTGCTGGAACCAAGTAAGGATATTTTCTCCTTATCAGATACTATAGCTGCAAGGAGATTGTAGTCACCCTAAACCCGAACCTGCATTGGGGTTGGGGATCCCTAGGACTCAGCAACTGCTTACAACTGGGCTTTTAAGCGGACGAGCAACCTCTGCTTAGGGCATACATAACTTAGCTACAGTTGTAGGCATACATATACACTTACATACATACATACATACATACATACATACATACATACATACACCCATGTATGTTAACACACATATCTGTACATATATGTATATATACATATACACACATACATAGACACCCGCGCTCGCATGCAACAAGTCCCACACTCAAAACGACAATCAACCTCTAGGAACCCCTGAGTTTCAAAGTTTTCGGATGATGACCAGCTTAAGGGTTTACGGCTCAGGGCTTTCGGATCATGACAAGCTTAAGGGGCGACCGCAGTTTTTGGGATTCCTAAGCCCTGAACTCTACACCCTCAGGCCTAAACCCTAAAGGGGGGCTTCCCAAAACAAGGGATACCCTTGGGGGTCCCTATAATAAGGACTCTAGTATATTGGGGTCTATATTGGGGTACCCTAATGTGGGGAAACTACCAAAGCGGTGTAGATGGTTTTCGGGTTTTAGGATGCACCCTAAACCTTGAACTGCAGGACTAATGCTTGAGCCTCTGAAGGGGCGCGTTGATGCTAAGAGCTTGCCATCAAACTCAATGCAGGGGTTTAGGGTTTAGGTTTAGGGTTTTGGGACCTAGGGTTCAGGGTTTTAGGGTTTAGGGTTTTTAGGGTTTAGGGTTTTTAGGGTTTAGGGTTTTAGGGTTTAGGGTTTTAGGACAAATATCAGAGAACCAAAAATCCTAAACGATCCCAAGTAGCTTATACTCATGAAACTTTGGTACCTTGTGATGTGTACTATCCACAGTATGGCCCTGCTTACCATCCAGGGGGCTCACCTCTAGGTGAACTCGAGACAAAAGTTGTAGTGATTCGCATGCTGAGATGAGTCTTGTTTCTGTTGATGGTTGAACCTAGAAAGATTGTGTCGCTCTTATAGAACACCATACCTAAAAGGAGGACATACTATTACCGGATGTTGGGGACTATATGAATATTTCCACTAAAGCACTTCTCAACTGAATTTACCCTAAACCTCAAACTCTAAACCCTAAACCCCAAACCCTCAACCCCAAACCCCGAACCCTAAAACCTAAATCCTAAACCCTAAACGCAAAACCCAACTCGTGTGGCTCAGGGGACTCCTGGATCAGCTCTGCTGGCAGCTCTTCAATGCCAAGGGTTCCTTAAGCCCAGCTCCAGGGCTTGGGGTTCAGGGTTGAATGCTTCGGGTTGAGGGCTTAGGACAATTCTTCTAAGATGTGCATATAGTAGTTTACTATATCTCTATATCATAACCGTACGTCGTAAATTAGACTGCGTTTTTGTCTAGAAATTTCATGAAAGCTCCTTCAGGGTTCATTTGCGAGCCTTGCATGCCATGCACTTGCAGACCATGGAGGGGCTTACTTGGAGGGTCACGGGGACTCAGCAAGTAGGTTAATAACCCCTATAAGCCATATAATATCTCCAACTATACCCCTCATTAACCTACAAACAAAGTACCCATGACCCTAAATTCTAAACCCTAAACCCTGAGCCCTACTACTATGACCCCACTTACTAGGTCTCCATGACCCTCCAAGTACTCATACCTTGCCATGAACTTCCAAGTCAAGACTTGCCGTTGTTTAGGTCATTTCCCCAAATAATAGGGGGACCCCAGTTTAAACCCCAACATGCATATCATATCATATCATATTCTCTACTATAGGGGCACCCAGAAAGGTACCCCTTGACTTTCTGTTGCTACAGATCCGTTGGACCTTCATGTCCAAAGGACAGGCAGGCCTCTGTGCGCAGCTCTTGTAGCCTTTTGAGCCATAGCCTAAACTCCTAGTATCCCCCTTAAAAACCTCTAAAGTAGCTCC